GCCAATGAGACAAGAGACCAAATTACACAGAAATTAACAACTATAGGTTCAAGATATTTGTTCTCCATTGGCCCTTTAACGTTTTTTTTTTTTTTTTTTTTTTTGGTTTCTGGTCTTTCAAATGTTCTGATTTTATCTGCACTGTTATAATTTAAGATTTATATACTGCATCTTAGGGATATTAAATATCTTTGGCAGCTACCATTTGATTTTGATTGGGGGTAAGAGGGGTAGGATTATAAATTTTGTCCTGCATTTTTTTTAGTTGTAATATCTGTCCTGCCTTTTTCAAATTTCATCCTACCCCCTAAAAATCAAATGGTAGCTCCCTTATTGGCAAGAGATATCAAATTACCTTCTTGCCTGTAATTGATGATAAACTGTACAGTATTATGCAAAAGAGACGAGACGTCTTGTGAGGAAATATCCTGCAGTCTGGGGTAATTGGCACAAAGGAAATTTGAAACTCATCGATTTGGTACTCAGAAGAGAGATCATCATCGGTTGAGGTTACCAATAACGAAATTAAATGGACATCATTTGCTCTTGGGAGTTGCTTCGAACAACTAGAATCATAATTTGCTAGGAAGTTCTTGATCTCTTTATGCATATATTTGGCTTTCTTTGTCAGATCAACTGTAAGAAAGAGATTCAATAAAACTTTTTTTTCACACACATTGAGTCATAGATAAGAAATAAAGGAGATAAGGGGTAAATGTCGATAATTCAACTACACTAAAATCAACAGTCTGAACAGAGCATAAGAATACAACCTTGACACACTATCCGGTGAGCTTTTTATTGTCATATATAAGAAAAATCAACACAAGTTGACCACAAGCATAGAAAAAGGATGAAAAAAAGATTCCATAATTGGGACAGGAACACAAAAAGGCACAGGGTTAAACATCTTCAGCAGGATCTCAACCTTTCACCATACCTTTAGGTGTAATACCACCAAATCATAGTACGTCACATCCGGTTGCACACGAAAATAGGTCGAAAAAAAATATTCCCTTGAATTTGACAGTTGTAGGTAATTGATCCTACATTTCATTGCAGTAAAACATTTCTGAGTCATAAACATATATCTTAGGTATTTCAAAGCACCATTATTTCTTTATTTGGGGTTTCTATAGAATATTTTGGAAACTTGAGGTTACATGGTTACTAAAGCTTGTACACAGGTTAAAAAAGGGGGGAAATTTGATTGGTTAACTTCCAGTGATGGTTATTTTCTTAAATGCAATGAAATGTTATGTGAAATTTTTTCTATAGTACTGGACAGGATAAAACTTTACTCATGCCAAGTATTTCTTTATTTGAAACAAAGATAAATTCTGCACAATTTTTTGAAAAGTGCAAATGTAACAAAGACTAATAGGGGAAAATCAATGGTGGTATTACACCTAATATGGGAAGCTGTACATGCACCTTTGACCTTGTGAGTACTCTCATGTGTTAAAATTTCTTGCTATTTAAGTGAAATATTGCAAATAATGAAATATTCTGAGTGGATTGAGTCTTCAAAATACATTTTATGAGAAAATTTCCTTGAAATAGGACTTTACCATGAATATTAGTTGACAGAACAAGCCATACTTAGAGTCTTGGGGAGCTTTTTCTCCTTATTTCTTATATTCTGCTATACTAGAAAATTTTTCCTAAGAAATACTTTAATAAATATATAGTTTTAAGTAAATGAAATTATTTTTAAAGCAGTAACAACAAATTATTCACCAAAAGAGAAGTTTTTTATGTCCCTCTCTGGAACGCGGCGTAAATTTAAGTTTTACGCAAGGACTTATTGAAACCTCCTTGGAGACGTAAAACTTTTATACGGATAGTTCAAGCAGCTTGAATACTTCAATTAATCATTTATAATAACATTTCTATCATAAATGAGTGAAAGTTACCCCAAAATTTTTATTTATTGGCCTAAAAAGTAGAAATTTTGAGGAAATGAGAGGTATAAATGGACCAAAAGAGACTTTATAAGGAAGAATAAGAGGTCCATTAGTAGTATTTATCATCCTAAAGTCATCTTTTGTATCATATTCAACTGTTTGTAGGCAGATGAGATAAATATTTGATCATTTATTGGTCCACACTATATTCTATCATGATGCGGCTTGGTTTGAATTTTTCGAAGAAATTTTGCTCGAATCGCTGTAGATGTCTTCTTACATTATACTAGATTTTTCTCAAACTATTGAACTGATTATGACAAAACTTGACAGGAATGCTTGAAATAACCGGTATTACAAAGGAAAAAAGTCACATTCAGTTTATTCAACAAAAAAGTCTTCTTTAGGTGTAATACCACCAAATCATAGTACGTCACATCCGGTTGCACACGAAAATAGGTCGAAAAAAAATATTCCCTTGAATTTGACAGTTGTAGGTAATTGATCCTACATTTCATTGCAGTAAAACATTTCTGAGTCATAAACATATATCTTAGGTATTTCAAAGCACCATTATTTCTTTATTTGGGGTTTCTATAGAATATTTTGGAAACTTGAGGTTACATGGTTACTAAAGCTTGTACACAGGTTAAAAAAGGGGGGAAATTTGATTGGTTAACTTCCAGTGATAGTTATTTTCTTAAATGCAATGAAATGTTATGTGAAATTTTTTCTATAGTACTGGACAGGATAAAACTTTACTCATGCCAAGTATTTCTTTATTTGAAACAAAGATAAATTCTGCACAATTTTTTGAAAAGTGCAAATTTAACAAAGACTAATAGGGGAAAATCAATGGTGGTATTACACCTTTATCAATAATTATTCATTCTTATCAGTTAACACTGAACTAACTACTATTATTTGGTTGACATTTATTTAATCAGTTGCTGATCCGGGAGTTGGAATCCCCCATTTTTTGGACGATCAATGCATTTGAATGGGGACATATAGTTGCCCCCCCCCCTTTATCCTAAATTGGGACCCCCTTTTAAAAATGTATGCATCCTCCCCTATTTAATTTCATTATGATGTTAATATTTGTAATGTAATGAACCAATAATCTTCGCATAGGTGAAAGTAAAGACATATTATTATTATTATCATTATCACAGAAATAATTAATAAATAATTTGTTTGCATCTTTCCTAAGTCAAGAACCTCATTTTCGGTGGTTGTTGTTTGTTGATTTGGTTCATAAGTGTTTCTCGTTTCTCGTTTTTTATATAGATTAGATCGTTGGTTTTTCTGTTTGAAATGTTTTACACTAGTCATTTTGGGGGCAATTATAGCTTGCTGTTCGGTGTGAGCAAAGGCTCCGTGTTGAAAGCCATACTTTGACCTTTTACTATTTAAAACATTCTGACTTGGATGGAGAGATGTTTTATTGGCACTCATACAACATCTTCATATCTATATACTATATATATATATTTATATACAATATATAATTACTAACTCTTAATTAAGTCAAAACTATTCTTTAAAAGGTTTTGTGATTGAATTAATGGAGCAAGCCGTTTTACTGTTAATATTTTTGACAAATATACTACGTGAAATCTTAAATGTCTATACATATTTTGAAGATGAAGTTGCTAGTTTTCAAACGGATAAGAATATTTCAAAGATACTGTGGAATGAACTACGATCTTTAGAGTTGAAATGTAAATCTTTTAACTATTATTTGTAGATAAAATATCAAAGTACCTTCGTCCACAGGACTTTCCTCTCCCGTCAAACCTACAAAACTTGCTGTGTCTTTCATCATTTCAATTATATGTTGACTTTTCTGGTCAACAGGGGTAGCTGCTGGTCCTCCACCAGTTTGGACCCCCAAGGGTGACTGGGAAATAGAAGTATGGTCACCATTGGTCTTCCTCCGACCGGCAGTAAAACCCTTGCTAAAGTGGGGCGTCCGTTTGGCTGTGCGGGATGTACAAATTTGCAGCCACGTCCGGTCAGAATGCGGACGTTAAATCCGATGCCTCGTGTAAAGAGAGTGCCACGCTCTTTGCACGTTAAGAACCCTTGCAACAACTCTTTGAGGGGTCCGTAGGTGACCTGTTGCAAGGCTAAATTTCTGTCCCTATCCAATATACCCTCATTTCCCGTGGCAGCCTAAATTTCTCCGACCTTAATCCAAGACGCCCCTATCACAGAACTTACCTATTGTATTTATTGTCAATTTGTTCTCGTCCTGAATATGCATGAAATATTTGCCACTGGACGTTAAGCAACCAACAATCAATCAATCAATCCACCAGTTTGGCGGGCGTGTTTTTTAACCTCTGCATAGGTTTTTTTTGCATTCGATTGCATATTTTGCCATTTCACCTTTACTTCTGCTACTGATCGACAATGCAACCCCAGTGAATTAATTTCTGTTGTAACACTGGACACTTTTAATTTGCAAAACACTCATTTGCAAATCCGCCGCCGCCTCTCCTTAGACCTACAGTGTCGTGTAAATAACCAAAATGTGCGGAATTACATGGGATTCAATAATTTCATTGCTTTTCTGCTGTTATTATTAAATATATTTTGTAATTTGATTTAGAAAAACATGGGATTTTCAATATCCCATGGGATAAGGCAAATCCCATGGGATTGACCATTATCCCATGGGATTTTGGTTAAATCCCATGGGATTTTTTTGGGTCCCATGGGATAATTGTAGTCCCATGGGATATTTGTTGTCCCATGGGACAAAACAAATCCCATGGGACTATAATTATCCCATGGGATTTTTAATATCCCATGGGACAAAATAAAATCCTATGGAATTCAAATTATAAATATACAGTAATGTGCATGTTACAATGAATTCTGTTTGGTAGTAAAAAGTTTATAATATATATATGAGTGTATTTTGTTTTTTTTCATTTTGTCACAAACATGTTTTTAATTTGTTTATATGACAATAAAGATTATTATTATTTTGGAAATATAATAATATTTAAAGTCAAAAAATAAAATCCTTTAACTGAAATAAAATGATGATGTCTTAATAAAAGAAAAAAATATTGATTTGAAATCTTTGTCTTCTTTGTTTTATTATGAAAAATAGAACTGAAAAAAATATTTCATATTCTGACTGAATAAATTGACAAAGCACAGTTAATAGTTTACTCTTTTCATGAGGTAAAGTTTTCTTTGTTATAGTTCCATTGCAATACATGAATATGCAAATGATTTGAATCTTATTCCTTTGTGGTGTTCATAATATTACATTTATATTTGTAAATTTATAAAATAAACACTTTTCCTGTTAAGTTTTAGTTTTCTTGTTTCAGTTTGCTATGAACAATTATTCAGTCCACTATATAAGAGTCAAGTAAATAAATTATTTCATCCACTAGAATATTCCTACAATTCTAAGACAAAACATTTATGCAATCTGTTCTTCAAAAATCTTCTTCCGTACATCTTTATTGGATGGAGCGATTTAAATGAGTGGACAAAGCAAGTTCATTTGGACAACAAAATACTAATATATTTTTTCATTCCTCCCTTCTTTCAATTGATAATTACGTTGTTGCATTTACATGATTAAGTTCTTGAGCATCTATGATCATGATGATATGACTCCTTTTTGTTTATAGTAATTATGTTGAAATTTCCTCTTTCTTATGTAGGAAAAAAAACACATTCCATTTCAAATTAATAAAAAAGTCACACTATGTAGAAAAATATCAACTTTAAGTTTGCTGTTCAGTATTGACCTGTTGAATGATGATCATGAAAACCAAGATGTCTGACCTACAAATACACAAAACTCAAAAATTATAAATGAAGAGAAATACAGCAATAAAATGGCTATTTTATCATGTTTATGTACATTTTGATAAAAATTTCATTTGAATATTTAAAATTGTAAGAACTCTTATTTCAGTGCTTTGTGTCTATGGTTTTCATATTAGTTGTTTTTTGTGCCTTGTTGCAGTCTTTCGAGTTAAGCCAATTGCAACAAATGTTTACAGTTTGTTCAAATGTTGTGCTGTTATTAAAACCACTGTCCCAGGTTAGGGGTGGGTTGGGTGCTCACTAAATGTTTATTTTATTAGTTGACATTTGCTTTGAATTAGCTGCAAGTAACTGTGAGTACTAATAGATCTGTATGTTGAGTCTTTTTTGTTAAAGGGAAAGAATAAATTTCCAGCCACATCCGGTCTGTGTTTTTGGTAGCTGTTTTTCTACTTTGTTGCATTCTAATGAGTTAATAAAATTGAGAATGAAAACGGGAATGTATCAAAATAATTTAATTTTGGATGTAATGCGTCTTCTGATTGGCTGACGTTGTTTTGTTTATCAGCTCATAGACATAATTTTGTCATGTGACCGTGACGTCATCAACGTTTTTTCATGGTTTACTCCGATTTAAAATGGAATTTAGAATTAAATTATAAGAAATGACTGTAATATTTTTTCTGTCTATTTGAAATAACATAAAAAATGTGGTGCACACTTTAAAATAACCCGCTACGCTACGATTTTATAGTTTTTATATTGAACTGACACTTACACCACTGTCCTTAATTAGAGGAGGATTTGGCGCCAGCAAACATGTTAAACCATGCCACATTTTGTAAGTGTCTGTCCCAAGTCAGGGGTCTATTATTCAGTGGTTGTCAATTGTTGCTATATATCATATTTGTTTTTTGTTTATTGTTTTGTGCAAAAATCAGGCACTTAGCTTTCACCTTTATGGTGTTTCCCCCAAGCATGTTTAGCATGGATAGACATCATGCCCTTTTTAAATGACGCCATGCCCTTATTGAATTGTTTTACATTTGTTATTTCATGGCCTTTTATGGATTACTATGCAGTATAGGGTTTGCTCATTGTCGAAGGCTGTACAGTGAACTAATTTTGTTAAATTTAATGTCATTTGATCTCTATTGGAGAAAAGTCTCATTGGCAATCGTACCGCTTCTTATTTTTATATCAACCCTGCCATATTTTGCCTGTCATTATTTACAGGTCAACATTGGCCTCTAATAAGTAATTGCATTGCTTACATCCACTTAATTGAACTCTGGTGGATAGTTTTCTCATTTATCATACCACATCTTATTTTCATTATAATCATTATTCAAGGGCAATAACTTTTATAGAAGTGGACTTACCATTTAGGCTTTGTTGACGTCTGTAAATCTATTTTTGTTGATAATTTCTTTTGTTTATAGTTTCCTTTTATCTTTAATGTTCTTGCCCTACACATAAAAGGGTAAGCATTATCATTTAATGACAATAACTACTATTACATAATGAGTAGGCAACTGACAATTTTGGATCATTTGTATCTTGTCTTGCTCATCATTTTTGCTTGATATTATCAATATTCTATGAAAATGAGGTCACAGTAATATTAAACTTGTCAGACAGACATCTTCTTATTTTTATATGACACCTTGTAGTCATTCCATACACCAACAAGTAGACATATGCTTATAATATCTGATAAAATGAATAAAATGCTCCGCTGGGCGCAGTTTGATACGACCGCAGAGGTCGAACCCTGAACAGTTGGGGCAAGTATGGACACAACATTCAAGCTTGATACAGCACTGAATTTGGATTGTGATTAAATATTTGACACAGCATAGGTTTCTGACACAGAATGAATGTGGTCTAAGAACTTAAAATTTTTAATTTACCTATTCAAACCATATCATTATTATTTGCTTTTATATATAAATCAGAAAAAACCAATTTAAAATGGAAAATTTTAAAGAAAAAAAAAGGAAAAAAAGGGAAAAAAAATCCCCCCCCCAATTTTTTGAACTCCCTTATGATTCATCACCCCAAACTCAATCCCAGCCTTCCTTTTGTGGTATGGTACCTTGCAGTACAATTACAGAGATCCATACACTTATACACAAGTTATTGTCTGGAAACTAGAAAAATGCTTGTTTTTTTGGCCCCTTTTTGGCCCCAAATTCCTAAACGTTTAGGGCAATTACCCCCAAACTCAAACCCAGCTTTCCCTTTGTGATATGGAACCTTGTAGTACAATTTCATAAAGATCCATACACTTACACACAAGTTATTGTCCTGAAACTAGAAAAATGGTTGTTTTTTGCCCCTTTTTGGCCCCTTATTCCTAAAATTTTGAGGCAATTACCCCCAAAATCTATCCCAGCCTTCCCTTTGTGGTATGGTACCTTGCAGTACAATTTCAGAGAGATCCATACACTTGAACACAAGTTATTGTCTGGAAACTAGAAAAATGCTTATTTTTGGCCCCTTTTTGCTAAACATTTTGAGCAATTACCCCCAAACTCAAACCCAGCTTTCCCTTTGTGATATGGAACCTTGTAGTACAATTTCAGAAAGATCCATACACTTACACACAAGTGATGGTCATGAAACTAGAAAAATTCTTGTTTTTTGCCCCTTTTTTTGCCCCTAATTCCTAAAATTTTGAGGCAATTGCCCCCAAAATCAATCCCAGCCTTCCCTTTGTGGTATGGTACCTTGCAGTACAATTTCAGAGAGATCCTTACACTTGAACACAAGTTATTGTCTGGAAACTAGAAAAATGCTTATTTTTGGCCCATTTTTGGCCCCTTATTCCTAAACGTTTTGGGCAATTACCCCCAAACTCAATTCCAGCTTTCCCTTTATAATATGAAACCTTGTAGTACAATTTCAGAAAGATCCATACACTTACACACAAGTTATTGTCATGAAACTAGAAAAATGCTTGTTTTTTGCCCCTTATTCCTAATATTTTGAGGCAATTACCCCCAGAATCAATCCCAGCATTCCCTGTGTGATATAGAACCTTGTGGTACAATGTCAGAGAGATCCATACACTAACACACATGTCATGTCTGGAAGTTACAAAAATGCTTATTTTTTGCCCCTTTTTGGCCCCTAATTCCTTAACTGTTGGTACCATAACCCCCAAAATCAATCCTTATGGTAAAATTTCATAGAGATCCATTCACTTAAACCAAAGTTAGAGTGCGAAAACCAATGTGTCTTCGGACGACGACAACGCCAAAGTCATACCAATATATGACCGTATAAAAAAACTAAGAAAACTTAGCATTGACCAAAGAACCAAAAAATGCGATCATGGTTATATGAATCTGCCAGACAGACATGCACACCTTACAATCGTTACATCCGCCAAATATAATTTACCTGTTGCTTAAAGCATATGATAAACTGACAAAACAATGCAAACTTTTCATTGACCAATGAACCATGAAAATGAGGTCAAGGTCATATAAAACATGCCAGACAGACTGTGCATCTCACAATCATTCCATTCACCAAATATAGGGGCCTTATTCATGTTATTACCTAGGAATAGTCACGGATGTCATGGACTAGGAAAATTAGTCTGGGGACATAAATTACTGACATCGGACTAAATATACTAGTAAATTCTGTATCCATGGACTTTTTATACTAGTTATATTTGTCTGACCAGACAATTTATCTCTTACACTAGTTCTCAGAGAGACATGTCACCTTACCTTGACACATTATTCTGACTCTGAACAAACCAGTATTTGCTCTTACTCCTTAATAATACTGCGTGCTTAGGGGAGAAGCAGCAAATACCAACTTTAAAGTCTTTGGTTTTACCCGGTTGGGTTCAAAATAAACAACCTTCTGCACGTGAAGTGAACACGCTACCACGAGACCAGGCAGTATAATATAAGGAGTTTACCCAAGATTTAAAGTTTCCAAGTTTTTGCAAAACCTGGATCAAAATCATCATTGAAAAGCAATAACTTTTTAATAAGATTTAAGTTTCTCTTTGATTATTACAGTTTTCGAGATAAAAAGGCAAATTCAAGAAATATGAAGAAAAAAAAAATGGTTAAAATCTGTATTTAAGGCAACAACTCCTATGAGTCAGCTGCTAGTTTTGATGCAAATGGACAGTAGATTTTTTTTTTCAACATTCTGAACATTTCTACCCTTGTAAGATATTGTCTATCTATTTTAGCCTTTTGTAGCTTATTATGCAGTTTGGCTTTTTAGCCCATTGTTGAAATCTGTACGGTGACCTATATAGTTGTTAACTTCTACGGTTTAAGTTTCTGTTGAAGAGCCGTCACATTGGCAATGATACCATATTTGTATATGTTTTTGTCATGTAGGTGTAAGGAGACAACCTTTTGATTTTCTGGTGGGATAAAAAGGGGAGACAGATTTTTTATCACCTGGCCTGGTAAGTTTTTCAGGGTTCGTAAGGATAGAAAACCCGGCAAATTGTAACAAACCCCTGTGGTACGACCATATTTGCCAAAAGATTAGTCCAAATAATTATGACGTCTTGCAAGGCTATTTTAACTTTTTTCTGGGCACGTAATAGTCAAAGTTGTGACTGAGTGCGGAAATATGAAGATAGATAGATAGAAAAATTATATAGGGACATAACTGAAGAACGGTAAAAGTGATGCTACCCAAATTTGAACTTGATCTGAGTTTTGTGGTAATAAGCATTGTGTGTAAGTCTCATAACATTTGGTTGAGGCTAACTTAAGTAGAGAACAGAAACTAAAAATTCAGCAATTTTTCTATTTGTAAACACGCATAACTCTAGAACGGTTGTGTATAAGTTTTATAACATTTGGTTGAGACAAACTAAAGTTAGAGAACGGAAACGAAAAATTCAGCAATTTTTATGTTTATAAAGGGACATTACTCAAGAATGGTAATTTGTCGCCACCTAATTTCGTACTTAATCTGTATTATGTAGTAATAAGCATCGTGTTATTTGTGTATAAGTTTCATAACATTTGGTTGAGGCAAACTAAAGTTAGAAAACGGAAACAAAAAATTTGTACTTGATCTTAGTTTTGTGGTAATGAATATTGGGTATAGGTTTCATAATGATTGGTTGAGGCAAACTTAAGTTACAGAATGGAAACTAAAAATTTGCAATCGTTCAATTTATAAAGGGCATAACTCAATAATGGTTAAAGTGACACTACCAAAATTCAACTTGATCTGTGTTTTATCAGTGGAAGTCAAAATTAAACATTGCATTGTATAAAGCATTGATTGTAGTTGATTCAACTATAATAATGGACAAAGGGAGATAATTTCAATTTTAAAAATTACTTGATATTTAGCATGTTTAGAAGAAAATAAAAATTTTGCAATTTTTCCATTTATAAAGGGGCATGACTCTAGAACGGGTTAAAGTGACGCCACCGAAATTCAAACTTGATCTGTGTTTTGTGGTAATAAGCATTGTGTATAAGTTTTATAACATTTGGTTGAGGCAAACTTAAGTTAGAGAACGGAAACTAAAAATTTTGCAATTTTTCCATTTATAAAGGGGCATAACTCTAGAACGGTTAAAGTGACGCCACCAAAATTCAAACTTGATCTGTGTTTTGTGGTAATAAGCATTGTGTATAAGTTTTTACTTTAACATTTGGTTGAGGCAAACTCAAGTTAGAGAACGGATTTTGGGACGTACGGACGTATGTACGTACAGACGGACAAGGGTAAAACTTAATGCCCCCACCGCTACGGCGGGGGCATAAAAAAAATAAAATAGCCTTGCTAGACGTCATATAATTATTTGGACTACCAAAAGATGTAACCTAATTCTTACTTGTTTGGGGAAGAGGGGATTAACCGAACCACTATTCAATCTAAATCAGTGAACTGAATTATTGTCTTCTGCAGTAGTCCGAGTCGACATCTGTAACTAATCATGCAAATTGATAGTCAACAGTATACCTTTTTCAGAATGTCAAAAATAACAAAAGTATATAGGAAAAAAATTCTGATACAAGTGCCTGTGATATATCTGTCAGTCCCAGAATAATAAATATAATTGTATCTTAATCTTTGAGAAAATTCCGATTATTAAATTGTTAAATTCTTTAACGTCATAATTATATCAAAGTTTAATTTTTAAAGTTTTAAATTTTAAAGTTAAAATGAATATTCCGTTTTGATCTGAGGAAAAACTTTTTAAACTGTAATGACATGGTCAGTCAACTGATTTGTTGCATGGCTGATTACAGGTAATTAAAGCATGCAGTAATTTTCCATTACGACAGTGCGTGTACCCTGGGGTGTGTATAACGTATTAGAAATATCATAGTTTTCTAGAGAACATCCTGTCTATGTGTAATACAGATTGATGACATTACACAATTTTTTTTTCGTTAAATGTAGTTAAGTATCTGTGTCCATTCCCTATTGCAACACTACAATTCTTTCGAAGAAAAAAATGTTAAAATTTAAAAAAAAAAATCATTTATATAAAATAAAGAAGAAAAAAGTAGCAAATAAACTTATGTAACTACGCATTGAGTAAACATAATTTCACTTTACATGTACAAACCCTTGAGAAAACGTATATATAGATGTGTTTAAAAAGGCCAATTCCCAGTGGATTTATTTCACACTAGGACCACAGGCACTTGTCTCAGAATTTTGTTTCCTATATACCTTAATACAGGGACTTTCTATACTAACTTAGTATAGAAAGTCCCTGCTTAATATAACATTAAAAGTATATAGGGCATTTTTTTCCTGAGACAAGTGCCTGTGACTAGGAACTAAGATAACTAGAACTAAGTTCATTGGAAAGTCTTTTTGTTTGATACATGTATACCTATAGATAATGTACATAATTAAGAACAGCTTCAAATATATGCCTGTAAATTAACGGTACGTCTAAAAACCGCTCAGGACCTCCTGAGTGCAGACAGGACATAAAAAGTCACTCAGGACATGTATATATGTTTTAGTGAGCGTTGAGGGTATACATTCGATAGATAATTTAAT